TTTAATATTTAAATCTTTGAACCATTTTGATTTTAGTTTAGGTCATGGTGAAAAATATGGGTCTAGTTTTAATTTTTGGCATGTATGTAGAAAGCCAGTTTTTCCAGCACCATTTATTAAAGAGGTTAGGGTTGTTTGGCCCCTTTGTCAAAGATAAGGGGGCTGAGCATGTTTGGAGTTATTTTTGCCTCTGGTAATCTGTTCCATTGATCCCCAGATCTTTTTGTTTGTTTGTTTTTGCCAATAAGTACCATGCTGTTTTTATCAAAGTAGCTTTGTAGTTTAATTTCAAATCAAGGATTGTGGTGCCTTTGCCTTGCCCAAAATTGCTTTTGCTATTGTAGGTGTCTCTTCTGGCTCCACATGAATTTTAGGATTGTTTTATCTAATTCTGTGAGATATGATATTGCTATTTTGATCAAGATTGCATTAAATCTGTATAATAATTTTGAAAGTAGGGTCATTTTCACTATATTGTTTTTTTCTACCCAAGAACAAGAGGTATCTTTCCATTTTCTGATATCCTCTTCAATCTCCTTTTTCAGAGTATAGTAGTTTTCAGTGTTTCAGTATAAAGATCTTTAACTTTCTTTGTTAGATTGATTCCTAGGTATTTCATTTTGGGGAATGCTATTGTGAAAGGTGGTGTTTCCTAATTTTTCTCTCAGTGAGTTTATTATTTGTGTACAGGAATGCTATTGATTTTTGAGCATTGACCTTGTATTCAACTATGCTACTAAATTCAATTATTAAATCTAGAAGTCTTTTGGTGGAGTTTTTGGTGTCTTCTATGTAGACTATCATGTCATCTGCAAATAATGATAATTTGACTTCTTCCTTTCCTATCCTTATTTCTTATATTTCTTTCTGGCTAATGTTTCCAGAACTGTATTAGGAGTGAACTGAATAGGAGTGGTGACATCCTTGAGTTGTTCCTTATTTTTCAGAGTGAAAGCATTTAGTTTTGTTCATTTAGAATGATGTTGGCTGTGGCTCTGTCATAGATGGCTTTTGTCAGATTGAGATAAAGACCATCTATCTCAATTTTCTGTAGGACTTCTATCATGAGTGGGTGTGGGACTTTGTCAAATGCTTCTTCTGCATCTATTGAGATGATCATATGATTTTTGTCCTTGGCTTTGTTGATATGGTGTATTGCATTTATTGATTTATGTATATTGAACCATCCCTGCATCCTTGAGATGAGTCCTACTTGGTCATGATATATAACCTTCTTGATGATTTGCTGCATTCTATTTGCCAGTATTTTTTTTCATTGATTCTTTGTACTGTGTTCTTAATCTTCATTGCATTAATTTCTGAATTAATTTTATAATTAATGAATTTATAATTTCTGAATTAAATTTATAATTTCCTCCCCTGTACAAACTTTGGGCTCTTCTTTTTCTAGAAGCTTGAGGTTCAACATTAGGTTATTTGTGCTTGCTCTCTTTTTCTGATATGGGAATTTACTGCTATAAATTTCCCTCTTAGGATTCCTTTCACTGCATCCCATAAGTTCCATTATGTTTAGCTGGCACTTTCATTTCATTGTAGAAAATGTCTAATTTCTTCTTTAATTTCATCTGTGACCAAGTGGTTTATGGTGGCACATGCCTGTAATCCCAGAACTGGGGAGGCTGAGGAAGAAGGATTGTCACAAATTTCTGGACAGCCTAAGCTATATCGTGAGCTCAAGACAAGCCTGCCCTACAAAGTGAGGTTCTATCTCAACAAAACAAACAAACAAACAAACAAACAAAAATTTCATCTGTGACCTAGTGGTTGTTCAGGAGGGTGTTATTTAATTTTCATGTATTGTTGAATTTTTTCTGGTTTCCTTCACCACTGATTTCTAATTTCATTACTATGGTCTGATAATATTCATGGAATACTTTCAATTCCTTTGCATTTACTTAAACATGTTCTATGAGCTAGTATGTGGTCTGTTTTGGAGAACGACCTGGGAGCAGCTAAGAAGAAAGTATTCTGATGTTGTGGGGTGGAATAAGGTAGACAACTGCTAAGTCCATTTGTTCAAAAGTTTGGTTCAGCTCTGATATTTCTTTTTGTCCAGTGGATATGTCTGTTTGTGACAGTGGGGTATTGAGGTTCACCATTACAACTGTATTAGTGCTTATTTGATATTTCATGTCCATTAATACTTGTTTTATACAGTTGGGTGCACTGGTATTTGGTGCACATATATTTATGATTGTTATCTCTTCTTGGATTGTCCTCTTTATAAGGATGTAGTGAACTTCTATGTCTCTTAATCAGTCTTGGCTTGAAATCCACTTTGTTTACAAATAGGAGTAGTAACCCTTGCTTTTCTTCAAGTTTCTGTTACATTCAGTATTGTTTCCATCCTTTGACTTTCAGTTTATGAATTTCTTTTTGAATTAAATGTGTTTCTTGTGTGCAGAAAATATTGGATCTTGCTTCTTGATCCTTTTTGCTTCTTTTGATTAGTAATTTGAAACCATTTACATTCATGGTTATAATTAATATGTATTGACTTATCTTTGTCTTGTTATTTTCCTGTTGTTGGTTCCCCTTTCCCCCTTCTATTTAGTTACTTACCTTGCCTACAGAATTCATTCTGTTGGGGTTAATGGAGTTGTAGTCTTTGTTATCTCTTTCTAGAATTTCTTTTGGAACATTTTGAACTGCTGGTTTGGTGGTCATGTATTTTTTTTCAGGTTTTTTTTGTCATGAAAGTATCTTATTTCTCCCTCAGTTTTTAAAGATAGTTTTGTGGGATGCAGCAACCTGGGCTGGAAATTGTTTTATTTTAGTGCTTGAAATACTGCACTCCAAGCTCTCCCTTACTCGGGTGTTTGTGTTAAGAAGACTGCTATGATTGTGATGGGTTTTCCTTTACAGGTGACTTGCTTCTTTTCCCTAACAGCTTTTAATATTATGTTCTTGTGTTGAATTTCTGGAATATTGATTATATGCCTAGTTTTTTTATCCTGGCTAATTGGAATTCTATATGCCACATTTATCTTTTTATCAAATTCTTTGCTCATGCTTGGGAAGTTATCTGCCATTACTTCTGTAGACAAATTTTTTAATATCATTTACACTATCTCCTGCTTTTTATTGACTCAAATTGATCTTATGTTATTCTTCTTTGCATCATTTAGCAGCTAATAGATTGATTTTTGGAAGTCACTCTCTCTCTCTTTTTTTTTTTTTGGTACCAAGGATTGAACTCAGGACCTTGTGCTTGTGAGGCAGGTGATGGCACCACTAGATTGATTTATTTGTGGTCCTTTGCCTTTTTTTTTTGTACTGGGGATTGAACTTGGGACCTTGTGATTGCAAGGCAGGTAGTGAAACCACTGAGCTAAATACCTGGCCCATTCTTTGCCATTTAAAAGAAATATTTCTTTTCATGATCACTAACTGAAACCCTGTCTTCTAGATCTGATATTCTGTTATTACATTGGCTCATTCTGATGCATATAATACTTTCAATAGAATTTTAATCTCCTGGATATCTGTTTGAATTTGTTTCATGGATTCCATTCCTTTCCTAAATTAGGCATTCATGGTTTTCATCATTTTCCTAAACTCCTCTATTTTTTTATCTGTATCTGCTCTAGAGTCATTAACCATGTCTTTTGTTATGTCACCATCTTTGTAGTTATCTGACAGATTATTTCTGATTTGATTTTTTTCTAGAGCTTCATTAATCTGCTTTGTTTCTTTTGGTCTTATCACTTCAGAGAGACCAGGTGAGTGGTTTTCAAATTGTTTCACCTCAGAGAGGTTAAAGGTAGGGGAGGGGAAAGGAAAAAAAGAAGAAGCAAGATATATAATTTTTTAAGATATATCATTATCTTCCAATTTAAAAGGAGTTGGGGGAGGAAACAGAAATAGAAGAAGAGGAATAAACTAGGTGTGGTGGAGCAGGAGAATCACTGGGAGTTCAAGGTCAGCCTGGGCTATATAGTGGGTTCAAGGCCAGCCTGAGCTACATAGTGAGACCTTGTCTCAAAAAGAAAATCTAAGTCCTGAGTTTGATCCAAGTACCAGAAAAACAGTACAAAAAAAAAAAAAAAAAAAAAAAAAAA